GGACTGGGAAACATAACCTCCTCTCACCCAGCGCACTTCCATTGGGGGGCGGCGGCGGGGGGGCGGGCAGGGGGGCAGGCCAGGAAGCGGCGAGAGCCCGGACACACCTCTCTCACTGGCTGGTGACCCTGGGCCAGTTCCTGGGCCAGCGTCTGGCCTTCATTCTCTGTGGGTGGGCACGCCAGCACCTAGGCTGCAGGGCTGGCAGGAGGGGTTAGTGAGGTGAGTGTCGGAAGCAGTAAGCACCACGCCTGGCACGGAACCCAGGCTCTGAGAGCATCGGGCATGCTCAGTGTTCTGGGACGCGTGGCACTGGGGTCTCCACAGTCTCTGTGAGGGACTCTGCTATCCTGTGATGGGCAGAGGGGCAAGTGGGTAACACATTTCGTCATGAGCTGACAGCAAAAGGGGCTGGGGAGACCTCGGCTCAGAAGTCTACCTGGAAAGGGCCTTAGAAATCACTTCCTGCAACAACTCACCTGACAGAAGGGGAGACCGAGGAGGCCCTGCTGAGGGTGACTATGTACACGCAGGTGGGGACGGACCAGGACAGGGGGCGCTCTGGGGGCACAAGAGGCCCTGCACACGGAGGGGGCGGGTGCTCTCGAGACTCCGCTCGCACACTCAGGGGCTCGGAACGGCCCTCTGGAGGCCTGGGCTCAGCCCCCTAGACAGTAAGCAGCCCTTCGGAACACCCGGATCCCACGGACACCCAGCCCCACACCAACGTGCCACCTCAGCCAGTTCCCAGGCCTGAAGCTACAGACGTTGGCACCCGAGACATTCTTCCCAAGAGGAGCCAGGTCACTCTCAGACTCACCACCAGCATGAAAGGCCTCCCCCGCCCAGAGGTCGGCAGGAAGAGGAAGGCAGGGGCGGCAGGAGCTGCCTGGCATCGGGCCTCCTCTGGCTCCGGGTCGCCCACAGTGTGAGGGGCACCCTCAGGCCCCGCAGAGCCAGCCTTCCCAGCGGTGCCGGCTCCAGTCACATGGCCCGGGGGCCCTAATCACTGTCCAGGCCTCTGCCCAAGCCCTTCACTCAAGGCATCCGGATTCCTCTTCTCTCTCCCCATCTCCAACCCTGGGCCGGAGAGCAACTTGAGTGCAGGAACTGACTGGCCTAAACTATGCCCTCCGTGCTAGTAGCTATCCTTGTTGTTGTTAATACTCAGTGGCTTAACATCACTGGAAGGGGGTGCCCTGGATTGTTGGGAGAGATGGAGGGAGACAGAGAAAGAGAAACATCAATGTGAGAAAGAAGCATCAACAGGTTGCATCAATGTGAGAAAGAAGCATCAACAGGACCGGGGATCAAACCCAAAACCTGGGCATGTGCTCTGACCAGGAATGGAACCCGCCACCTTCTGGTGCATGGGAGAATGCTCCCGCCAGCTAAGTCACACAGGCCAGGACCCCTCCTCCTCTCTGTCTCCTCCTCCTCCTCCTTCCCCTCACCACCTCTCCCCTCCCCCTCCTACTCTTTCTCCTCCTCCTCCTCCTGTCCTCTTTCTTCTCCTCCTTTTCCCTCCTCCCCCTGCTAGTCTTCCTCCTCTTCCTCCTCCTTCTCTTCTTTCTTCTCCTCCTTCTTACTCCTCCTCCCCCTCTTCTTCCCCCTCCTCCTTCTCCTCCTCCTCAGCTTCCAGGAGTTGCTGCTTTAAAAACAGGAGCTGCAGAAACATGGCCCAGAGCCAGGTGCTTAAAGTGCATTATCTCTGGCTGCAGCCGGAGTCAGAACTGAGCTCTCCAGGGCCCCTCAACTCCTCCCGCCTGTCTCTCTACTGGGCGGCCTCTGACATGGGCCTCTGCACTACTGGGGCTTCCCAACCGGGCTCCGAACCTCCAAAAGCACATCCTGCGAGGACCAAAGATGAAAGACTCACCGGCCAAGGGATGCGGCCCCCACCCCGTAGGAAAGGTAAAAGGATGAGCCTGGGCCTTGGGGGCGAGCCGGGTTCACTGTAAATCCCATTCTTAACACACGACTGGAGGGACGGCAACGGTCATAACTGCAAGGGACCGCAGAGGACCTGAGTGCCACCTCTCCCGGAGGCCGCCTGGAAAGGATCGCCCAGCCATTCGGGGCACGTTAGCTGTGAGGGAGTGTCCTCAAGTCTCCACCAACCGCATCAGTGACGGTCACCATCCAGCTGCCATTTATCCAGGACTTCGTGTGAGCCTGTCACTTACACTGACACGTCTTCCAGTTTCTTCCTATCTTTGCTTTCTATCTCCCTCATGAGGATGTAAGCCAGGATCCTTCCCGTGTCCAAACCCTCCGTGCTGCAGGGGAGCCGGTAATAGGGGCTTGATCTGAGCCCCAAATCCATACCCTCTGTCTACAGGGACTATGGAGGGTAAAGCCCGCTCTGCCCGACACAGTACCCATGGGCTCAGCATAGAATTCCCCAGTGTGCAACTTGTTGTAGGTGCTCAATAAACACTGAATGAATGAATGAATGAATGAATGAGTGAATCTCTAGAGACACCATACCCCTTGGTTTGGTTAACAAAACAGAGGCCTACTCCAGCCACTCAGGTCCACTGGGCAGGTCACTGGAGACCGCCCCTGAGGACACCTCGGAACTCACACACCTGCATGGTGACGGAGATGCAGGAAGGCACAGCAGCAGGAGTGGGGTAGTCCTGTGAGCCCCCCACCTCCTGGGACAGAATGCTGGGCCTGAGAAGCCCTAGGAGCTCCCACAGCTCCGGGACCCTGTCCCGTCCTTCCATCTAAGTCAGTGCTTCTCAACCTTCTGGCCCTTTAAATACAGTTCCTCATGTTGTGACCCAACCATAAAATTATTTTCGTTGCTACTTCATAACTGTAATGTTGCTACTGTTATGAATCGTAATGTAAATATCTGATATGCAGGATGGTCTTAGGCGACCCCTGTGAAAAGGTCGTTTGACCGCCAAAGGGGTCGCGACCCACAGGTTAAGAACCGCTGATGTAAGTCCCCCCCTGGCAGAGGTGCCTGCCCAGGCCCAGCACTTGGGAGACGGCAGCCCCAGGACAGCCTGCCTGGTGGGAGGGTGATGCAGAATGCAAGCTGCTCAGTGCCCGTCAGAGGTGAGGCACAACCTCCTCTTGGAGAGTCAGACCAGAAAGGACCTTAGAAGTCACTGACCATTTATCATCACTGTCCCTGTTTGGTGACAAGAAAACTGGGGCTCAAAGTGGTGAAGAAACGGGTCTAAGACGACACAGCTGGCAGGTGGCAAGCCAGGACTTTGAAGTCAGAGCTGTTGGATGCTCTTAACCACAATCTTCCACCTCAGTCTCCCAATCTGGACAATGGGGAGGTTGGACCTGATGATCTTTAATGTCGCTTAGATTTGAGGTGATTTCAGAGGAAACCAAAAGCTCTTCTCCCCGGGGCATCTTCACCCCACTCTCCCTTCTCTCCTCACCTTCCAGCGTGGGCCTCCTCCCCAGCCCAGGACACTGCTCCAATCAAAGAACAGGGAAGGGAGGGGCTGTGAGGGGAGGCATGGGGGCGGGGAACAGGAGCAGAGATGGAGAAAAGATGCCTGCCCGCTTTGCCCATCCAGCCCTCCAGACTGGCGAGTGCCAGGGGAAGTTCACAGACAGTTTACAAACCTCCTTTGTCACAGGGCGGTGCACGGAGCCATCAATCACGCCCTTAATTTACCCGTGTCACTTCCCAGTGGAAAGCCGCCCTGTGAGCAGCCACTGGCACTTCCTCTCTCACCCACTCGATGAAGATTTCATCTAATTGGTCCATGTTAATCACTCCCAGGAATGCAGTGTGCAATTATCACAGCAGCACGGCCGGCTGCGAGGACATGCCGTGACCCTCCGCGTGTAGGCAGGAGAGTCCATGGAGGGCCCCTAGCTATGGGGCCCAGGGCCCTCTGGGAAACCTGGAGAACCCCCAGGGAGGACCTGCTGGGAAGGGGGAGGGCAGGCCAGGAAGGAAGGAACCATGGAGGGTGCCAGTTACAACTCCCCACCCGCCCCATGTCTGAAGGCCCAGGGGAGCCAACCACCCTCCTCACAGATATAGACTCTCCTCTAGCTTCGTGGGAACAGACTTCCGGAAGGTTTCCATAAACCTTGCTTAGCACTGCCTGGCCCTGGCCCCCAACTGGAAATGCTGGACGCACAGGCCATCTGGGAACCACAGTCATGCCCAACACCTTTCCTCCAGCACAAATGTCTCCAAACACCAGGCTTTGTGCAGACTGTTCCCTCTGCCTCATCTGCCTGGTGCCTCTTGGTTGTCCTGCTGGTCTCAGCTCAAACACCACTTACACTAAGATGCCCTTTCAAACTCCCCTGGGCAGGAGCGGTACCTGTCCCTCCTCCGCCTGGCCTTCCACAGCCCCTAGCACAGGCCTCTGGGACACCCTCACCACACTGCCCTGCCCTTCTCTACTGGCCGGAGGGTCTAACCATCCTGGGAGGTGCGTGGGGACTGGGACCATATGTTTTATCACCTTTATGGTCCTGCCCAGCATACTCAGACTGGGGCTCAGCAAATCCCTCAGAATGAATGAGTGAGTGAGTGAATGAATATCATCTACCATAACGCATAGCCGCAGATAACCCACAGGCCAAGTCCGTTCCCCAAAACATGCCCAAGGGTTCTCTGGGCTCTCTTTTGCTCAGGGGATCCCATCCTGATACAACTTCCATCAGGGCCCCCCTGAGGAATCAGCACCAGAGCACAGAGGCTGAAAAGAGCTTCAGAGACAAATCGTCCTCATTTCAGTGATAAGCAGATGCAGGCCCGGAGGCCCGGGGTGGCTGCGTAAGGTGCCCAGCAGCCCATTACCAGGAGCAGGGTCCCGTGCTAATCAATCTCAGGGCTGTGAGGAGCTCTGAAGCTGGGGCAACCCCAGCAAAGCTCCAAGAGGGGGATCTCACTGGCCCTTGGGACTCCTGGGCGAGTGTGGGCACCCCAAGCTCCTGTCCCCGCCCCCCCTGGCCCTGGCCTCTCCCAGAGGCTGCTGCCCGAGGGGTGGCACGTGTACCTTGCGCTTCTTGGCACGTCCCTCAGCCTGCAGGGTGCGGGTGCAGCGCTGCACACACTCGGAGAAGCTGAGGTTGCTGCGGTCGGCGCTGTAGTCGAGGTCAGCCAGCCGGGCCAGGGACAGGATGTAGTTGCAGGCGATCCTCAGGATGGCCAGTTTGGATAGCTTCTGCCCGTATGAGTAACACGGCACCTGGTGGGTGAGAAGGCGTCAGGAGGACTGCCGGGGCCTCTGCAGAGCACGACCCCGCGGGGCACCCCGGCCAGGCGGGCATGGGGCTGCTCACAGTCACATCTGCGCCACTTGAGAGGGACGGCTGGACAGCGGGGGCGGCCTGTCGAAGCCATGGACCCGGGTTTGAGTTTCTGTTCTAAGCAGCCGCACACACATCGCAGCTCACCCGCTCACAACCTCGGGGAGTGCACACATTTCCGTTATGTAGGGCAAGACACTGGGGCTCAGCTCCTGCCCGAGAGCCGGTCTGAATGAAGTACAGTGTGTTCCCACCATGAGAGAGCTCTGTCCCAACCTCCCTGAGAGGGATCTCTCTGAGAGAACAGGCATTTCTTATTAGCTTTGATATTCCTTCCATTCATTCATTCATTCATTCATTCATTCAGTAAGGCTGGTTTTGCTGAGCACTTGAGGTTCTGACAACGAATAATGTGATTCCTGCCTTCAAAACAGAGTCCGGGACTCTGGGAATATACGAGAAGGAAACGGACAGGGCTCAGCGGAGAGGGCACACGTGGTGGGCTTTCTGTTTCTTTTCTGCTTTTCTCTGTGCCCTCTGAACCTGAGCCGCTGCTGGGCATACAACACGTGCATAATAAATACTTACAGCCACAACCAGACTGGACACGTTTGTCAGTGACTCACCACCAACTAGACACTCACTAATGGCACAGGGATGTGTACCAGGTGAAGAGATGGAGCCTCTAACTCTTTGACGCTGTCACCAGCGTGTGGGCTGCGTGAGCAGACACCTATGAGGCCTGCAGCAAGGCCTGTGTTGTAACGTGGGAAGGTCACCACAAGTCGCCGGACAGGGCGCATCCTCAGAGCCACCGCTGCCAGGAGGCGTCCTTCGCCTGGACGGCCCAGCGTGCTCGCCTGGCCACCAAGGCTCCGGGTTTCCTCCCCTCTCTGGGCTCCAGGATCTACACGCAACAGATCTACCTGCCCCTGGTATCTGGTCCCGATACCCTCATCCCACAGAGAGGGACCCCCATGGCACGTGCATTCAACAAGTATTTAGTGAGCACAGACACCCATGCCAGCTACTGCTCTAGGTCAGTGGATCTCTGCCGGGGACAACTGTGTCCCTTGGGGGACAGTGAGCAATGCCTGCAGACACTCTTGACTGTCACTACTGGGGAGCATGGGGGGTTGCTACTGGCCTGTCATGGGTAGAAGCTAATCATCCTACCATGCACGGGATCCTACGATGCCCCCACAGCAAGGAGATACCGGCCCAACTGTCAGCAGTGCTGAAGTGAGAGACCTTGTTCTAGGCCCCGGGGATAAAGCATGAACAAGACAGGCCCCTCAGAGGGGGACCCTCAATGTAACATCCACTTTGATCTCACTCTAAACCTCACCTTGTCCAGGAGCTTTCTTTTTTTTTTTTTCTAAATATATTTTATTGATTTTCCACAGATAGGAAGGGAGAGCGATAGAGAGCCAGAAACATCGATGAGAGAGAAACATCGATCAGCCGCCTTCTGCACACCTCCCACCGGGGATGTGCCCACAACCAAGGCACATGCCCCCGACCTGAATTGAACCCTGGACCGCTCAGTCCGCAGGCCGACGCTCTATCCACGGAGCCAAACCAGCCAGGGCTTGTCCAGGAGCTTTCTCTGACTGCCCCCCAACCCCACCCCACCCCCGCCCCAAACCATGAGGCTGAAGGTAAGGTGGGGAGGGGGTGCGCCTGCCCTTGGCTAGTGCTCTAATAGCACCCCATCTGTCCTCCACTCCTCCTCATTTAATGATTCAGTCTCCCTGTAAGTGGTAGGGGAAGCCCCTGTCTGCAGAGCCCAGCGCAGGTCCTGCCTGTAACAGGCACCTGAAAGGGTTTGTTGAATGAGAAAATGAATGAGCTCCCTCCACATTCACCGGTGACTCCAGAATGTATAAAACTGGGCTCCAAAACCTTTCCTCATGCTGACGATGAGGAGTTAGGCCTAGAGCTTAAGCACACAGACCTTTGGGTCACCTGGTTCAACTCCTGGCTCTAGCCCTTCCTTGCTCTGAAGCCCTGGGCGAGTGGCAGAATCTCTGAGCTTTGGCGTCCTCGTCACATTGCTAGCAGGACTGACCTCACAGCGTGGTCGCGAGCCAATGAGATGGCATCTGCACCGCCCAGAGGAAGGCCTGATACAACTCAGCAAAACAGCACAGACCGAAGAGAGGCTCCGGAGAAGGCGAGAGGCAGGACAGCTGCAGCCAGGGCACAGCACCTGCTTGTCCCCTCCCCCCTGGGGGTCCTGAGACGCACCCACACCAGAAGCAAGGTTTGCTATCACCTTTTAAAATGCTCCAGCAGGCCCTGGCCAGTTTGGCTCAATGGATAGAGCATCAGCCTGCGGACTGAAGGGTCCCAGGTTCGAATCTGATCAAGGGCACATGCCCGGGTTGTGGGCTCGATCCCCAGTAGGGGGCGTGCAGGAAGCAGCCAATCAATGATTCTCTCTCATCACTGATGTTTCTATCTCTCTCTCCCTCTCCCTTCCTCTCTGAAATCAATAACAATATATATTTTTTAAATATATATTTTATTGATTTTTTACAGAGAGGAAGGAGAGGGATAGAGAGTTAGAAACATCGATGAGAGAGAAACATCGATCAGCTGCCTCATGCACACCTCCTACTGGGGATGTGCCCGCAACCAAGGTACATGCCCTTACCAGAATCGAACCCGGGACCCTTCAGTCCGCAGGCCGACGCTCTATCCACTGAGCCAAACCAGTTAGGGCAACAATATATTTAATAAAATAAAATAAAAAATAAAATGCTCCGGCAGCCAAGGAGTCGCCCCTCACCAGACTAGGAAACCCAGGGAGGGGCAGGGAGGTGACAGAGAGAGTGCCAACTCCCATGCATTTCCCCTTCCTACCTCCCACTCCCAGCCTGGCCGCAGCTCCAACCCCATCCAAGAAAAGCCGGCAGAACAATGCACTTTGCCTGTTCCCAACCAGAGGCCAGAGAATCCTGCTTTATCAACACGAACAAATAAACAGGTCTGTGGGACAGAAAGGTGCCTGAGAGTCCCAAGGCAGGGCAGGCACCCCGGGAGGGCGTGCCCGCCCCGGCGGCCCCGGACAGGTCTGTGACACAGGCCCTAGCGCCGTTTCCACCAGAGGCCATGCTGGGAGTGATTCAGCTCGGTGAGCCCTTGGCCCTTGAACAGCTGGCTGCCCTGCCAGTTGGGAGCAGGGATCTCAGGAGGGCCCTGCACATGGGATCCAGGGTGACTGCGGGAATACAGAGCAGCAGATAAGGTCAAGGCCGACCTAGGGGCCCCGGTGCCAGGTTCTGGGCCAGTTTTGTCTCGGATTTGCCACTCTGTCCTGCTGCTTCTGTCAAAGTCCAGGTCCAACAAGAAAACTACCTACTGAGCTCTGGTTGCATAGCAGGCACTGAGGTCGCTATTGATAAGGAATTTTATTCCATTTAAAACCTTCCTCCCAGCCCGAGCTGGTCTGGCTCAGTGGATAGAGCGTTGGCCCGTGGACTGAAGGGTTGCAGGTTCAATTCCAGACAAGGAGGGCACATACCTCAGTTGCAGGCTCCATCCCCCGTGCATGCAGGAGACAGCCAATCAATGTGTCAATGTTTCTCTGTGTGTGTGTGTGTGTGTCCTTGTACTCTCTCTAAAAATTAATGGAAAAATATCCTCAGGTGAGGATTAAAAACAAAACTTTAAAAATAAATAAATAAACAAAACTGCCATCCCCCCCCCCAAAAAAAAAAAAAAACCTGGCTATTATCCCATCTGCATTTAAGGAAGCAGAGAGGTGACATATTGGGCCCCAGGTCACACGGCTAAGACCTGGCTGGAGGCACACATTGTCTGATGCCCAAGGAAGGCACATGGCCACTGGGCTCTCCCAGCTCCCACCACCAGAGGTGGCCAAATATGAGACACCAAAGGCAATTTCTGGCCACATCAGTCCTCCTCTGCCTCCTCCCCTCCATGGAGGGGGGTGTCCCTCAGCTGCCCTGGCTAATCCAGATCCTCCTGGTGCCTGATCTGCAGGATGAAGCACCTGGGCCCTGACATCCCAGCTCAGAGGCACCCCAGCCTGGGCAGCGACTGCAGAGTGAGAATCCAATGGCAGGTTCTAGTTCTGGGAGGCCAAGATCAGGAGGAAGAGCTGGTCTGAATCCGGGCACTTCCCAGCAGTGTGAGTCAGAGCAAGTGCCTCTCACTTCTGAGCCTCAGTTTCCTCATCTGTAGAGTGGGGCTAGCGACCTCTGCCTGCCCTCCATGGCCCCTCGGGCCAGGCCAGCCCTGGCTGTTTACTGTGTTCTACCCAGGCAGGCAGAGAGCTGAGGATCTTGAATACAAGGCCTACGTTCATCTTAAAACAGCCCCAAGAGAAAGAAAGCATCGCTTCTACTTTACAGGAGCATTGGGCAGTGGAGGACTCTTAGCTGGTGGGAGGTTTTTTGGGTTTTGAACTCCCACCTTAGCTGGGCTTTTTCCAATGGGCCAGAAGGACTTGCTTGGAGATTTGGATGGGCGTCTACAGCATAAGGTGGGGAGGTGGGCAGGTGGAGAGTTCTGGACTGATCCCCTGGGACCCCAGCCTTTGAGCATCCACAGTGAGTCCAGAGCCCAGCTACCCCACCGCCTGCAGAGAGCTCCAGTGCAGGGGTCTGCCATTCTGGCCAGAGGACATAGGACAAAGGAGGCAGCAGGGTCGCTTGGCTCCAACTCCCAAGCCTGCCCAACTTCCGGGAAAGTAAAGGGACTGCCTTGTGCTCACTCCACAATGATTTTTCAGCTTCCGAGGAGCAAATGTGGGGGTTTTCATGAGGTCCCATATGCCCTCAGAACATTCCACCCATCCACCCCAAGCTGGACCCTCTCCAGGCTCCAGGAAGCAGAAGGAAGTGAAGAGGGCACTGGCCTGGGCGCCTGAGGGCCTGGCTCCACCCCTGGCCAACCACGTGAACTCAGCAGGGCCATAACCTTAGGGGACCTCTGTTTCCTCACCAATAAAAGGGGCACAGAATACCTTCGATCCCAGAATGGAATCGCTGTGGGCAAAGGAGAGAAGGTGCCACAGAGAAGTCAAGCCGAGAACCTACCCAGTTCAGGAGGAGCCGCAAGCCCTCTGGCCTCTGTGCCAGCTCCCGCCCACCTTTCCCCAGCCCAAGACGCCCTCCTGGAAGCCCACCAAGACTCCTGACCCCACAGAGCTCCAACATCGCGCACAGAACACAGTTTAGCACCTGATTTCATTTGAAATTACTGTGACAGTAACAGAGCTCCAACATCACACACAGAACACAGCTTAGCACCTGATTTCATTTGAAATTACTGTCAGTTGAGTGCAGACTTCCTGAGACAAAGCCCCTCTATACAGAGCTAGGTCCCTATCAAATTCTATTGAAATGGGTTCTTGAAAATCCCAGCTTTCTACACAGCAACAGAGGCTAGCTAGACCCTGAGAATTTGAGTCTTAGTAATTAAGTCATGGCCCCAGGGCCAGATAGGCCCAGGTACAAATCCCAGCCATTGCTTAACCTCCCTGTAAGCGTCCTGGTCTGCAGCATGGGGAGGGAGCACCGCAATGCCCAACCACAGGCCCAATGCAGCGAGACTCAAAGCTGCCGCCCTGCTGACTGTGAACATGGCTGGAGGGGTCTGACGCTGAGAGGTGCAGGGGTGAGGGCACCATCCCCACAGCCCATCCTGAGCCACCGTGAACCCCCTTGGTGAGGATCCACAGGGAGACTCTAGGGCAGGGGTGGGCAACCCCTGGCACATGTGCCAAACATGGCATGCCAGTAACTTTTGCTGGCACGCGAAACCCTCTCTTACAATCTTCCATTTACAATTTTTTTCTTAATATCGACTTTTTTATTTTTCAGATAAATTCAGTGTAGGTGCATCTTAGATAAAGAAATAATTTTACATAATAAGTTATCTTAAAGACCATAGACATGGATTCACCAGAGAGGGGAAGAGCAATTTCTATGCCTCTGCCTTAACTCTCCCTGCCTTCCTAGATCCGACCAGTGTTTTGGTTTCATCCACATACGCTTGTGAATCTTTGTTCTCAGTGATGAATTTTAAGTCTCGTAATAGGAGTAGCCTGATGGATGAAAGTAGTAGCTCGTGCATACATCTGAAGGTCACGAAATATAAACCTGATGTAAAATCTGTCATCAGGGATGCAGCAGCAAAAGTCCCACTGATAATATCAAACGGAGTCATAAAGTTTTCTGTCGGACTACCAGTGTACATGCATACATTAAAAAATAAATGTATTTTTCATCATCATATACTGTGTTTCTGTCGCTCGAATGAATTTTATTATTTCTTCAAGGTTCTTCACATACGTACACCTTAAGAGATATCAAGTAGGTGTAACATGTTCTCAAAAAATTAGGGTTGGCACGCAGAAGAATTTTGAGTCAGAGATTTTGCTGGTTTTGGCACGCACTCACAAAAAGGCTGCCCACCCCTGCTCTAGCGGCAGCAGAAGAGGGGACCCAGGCCCCACCTATGTGGCACCTCCTTCATGAAAAGGCACCTCAGCAAGTCCTGAGGGCTCGTCACGGATGCCTCAGGCCTCCGCCTGCCATTCCGCGCCAAGGCTGAGGGCTTCCTGCTTCCAGGGGCACCGGCAATCTGCACACATGCCAGATGCCCCAAGGATAAGCACAGTCTGTGAGCCAGAAGGTTCCGCCCCTACTCTCACCCACCCCGCAAGGCCATGCTTCCCCTGCGAGCCCCTCCCACCTGGTCCTGGAGCAGCCCTGCACATGGGCCAGGCCCAGCTGCGCACACATGGCCTTCACATGAGGCGCAGGGAGGGCCCAGTGCAGCTGGGCTGGTGGCATGTGCTGAGGCCTGACCATCTGCCCCGCACACCCACCATCTTGGCCTCGCTGTCACGCACCCCCCAGACCAGAGGGCCTGGCCCCCACCTGCAGGGCTATGGCTAAGCAGCCATTCCCGCATGCTCCCTTCCTGGTGCACAAAACAGGATGGCTTCCATGTGCTGAGGGTGGACAGCTCTCGGGCATTCCACAGACTGAGGAGCAGAGCTGTCAAGAGCCTGGGCACGGGAGTGACTCACTGACACCGATTTGAGGCAGGCTCTGCAATGACGGTGGTACAAGCTATGCAGGCTGCGGCTGCACCATGCCAAGGAGGCACCAGCACACTGGAGTCTAGTGAATGGCATGCCAAGGAGGCGTGCAGTGCAAAACCTGCGAGGCTTCCCTCACCTGGCATAAGCTCCCTGAGCCTCAGTCCCTCCACCTCTAATATAGTTTCTTCGCACTGAAAGAGGACGCCAGAGGGAGAGAAAGGGCCCTGAACTGACTGTCAAAGGACCTAAGTGCCAGCCCTGCCCTGTTATGCTACCCACCAGCTGTGCTGCTCTGGGCATGTGGCCTCCCCAATCTGGGAAGCAAGGTGAGCAGGTGGACAGCCTTCTGTCATCATTCCGTCCTGAGGGGTGGGTTGCAGGACTCTATAGGCTGCCGCCCTCCGGAGGCATTCAGATGCTGGCTACTGGTTGAGGGCAGGACTGAATGCTCCACTGGGCCCACTGCCCAGGGTCCCAACTGGCATGTGGCTCAGCCTGGTCTGTGTCAGCTACTTGACCCCCCACCCCCACCCCAATTCACTGAGCAAACAAACATCTTAACCCAAATCTGTGGGTGGCACTTTGGCTGAATAGTCATGGGGCTTTCCCCCCAGCAGTTCAATTCCCTTCCCATGGATGGACACAGGCACCACTGCCCGCCCCACCCACAGAAGGAAGAGCAGAGTGTGATCCAAAAAGAAGATCATGCTTTCTGAACTGTTTTGTTGCTGGCGAAAGCCCAGAGAGGTTGAGTAACTTCCCTGGAGTCACACAGGAAGTCAGCTGCTGAGCAAGAAAAGAACCTGACTACTCAAACCAGTAACACCCACCCCTGCCCTTCTCCATTCCCTGTGCAGGTGGGAGCAGGGGGCCCTAACCACCTCTTCTCAGATCTCCCTTCTCTCTAAGATGAGAAGCCTAGAACCAGAGGGTAACCTTGTCTAGAAAGTGGAATTGTAAAAGTGCCCTTCCCCACCCGTCCGCCGCAAAAGACACTGTGGGGTGAGAGCTACCCCCACCAGCCCCAAACTGAGAAGCCCCTGACCTACCCCAGAACTGCCTGCTTCACCGGAGAATGGAGGGCAGTGGTGGAGGGGATCCCCGGGGAAGGCTCTCACCAGCCGCTCTTGAGGCCGCCCCTGGGGAGAGGGAGCAGGCTTGTAGCCCGCGGCATTCAGGACGCCAGGGCAAGGGGTGCAGAGCCCGAAAGCAACCTGAGTGCAGGGGCAGCCCTCCTGGGAGATGGGGGCTGAGGGGGGCTGCGGGACCCTGCTGTTCCCGCAACCCCAGGACCTCCCTTCTCGGCGTTCTGGGCCTCCCGGGCACTCACGCACCCACTCGGCAATCTTCCCCGACCATCTCAAAAGCCCAAAGCGGTCTTCTCCCCTTCCCCGGCCGAGACACATTCCCACATCCCCCCTTTCCACTCCCCACCGCTCCCAAGGAACTCGGGAGACAAATACTCGCGGTCATAAAAGTTAACTACGAGTGCCGAAGTCTGACGCGCAGGCAGGGTCACCCCGCGGGGAGGGGAGGGGCGGGGCGCGGACGACCAGAGCACGCCTCAGGGGGACCTTCACCCCACTCTGCAAACTAAGAAACGTACCAAGCCTGTAGCAAAGGTCACTACTCCAGGAGGACCCAAACCTGCCTGGGTCCTGGGGCCCACCGGGCGGGGACGACTTGCCCCTCACAAACACCCCTAACCCTCCATAAGTCCCCCGGGCACTCGCCCACCCGCTCGGGCGCCCGCCGACCTCTTCCCCGGGCGCAGGGAGAACGTGCGGCTGGGAGCCGGTACCTGCTTCCGCAGCGCCTCGAAGGCTGCGCTGATGGTGTGCACCCGCGTCCGCTCCCGGGCGTTCGCCAGGAGCCTCCGGGTCTGCTGCAGGGCTTTGATCTCCGAGGAGGCGGTCGTGGCTTCGCCGGGCCGTTTCCTAGGCGACGCGGAGGAATCCGGATGGTTATTGTAAATTACGTGTGAAATTGACGAGTAGGAACTTTCCCCGGGGCGCGTGGGGGGCGCAGGGCGCACGGAGGTCTCCCGGGGCGCAGGGGGCGCGGAAGGCATTGGGCGGGCAGGCGGTGCGCACAGCAAGATGCGGGGACGCAGGCCGGGTTCCCGGAAAGGCTGTACCTCCGGACCCCCAGGTACCTGGCCCTGGGGTGCTGGAGGCGGCGGCGGCGGCGTGGGGAGTCCCGGACCCACAGCGCCCAGGGAGAAGCCGCGTTTCCGCGCGTCCAAGACCTCTGGCGCCCGGGCGCCCCCGCGCTCCCCAGCAGTGTCCGGGCCTCCACCTGAGGGGACGGCCGGCGCCACTGCGGCTGGCACCGGGGTCGGGACCGGCTGCAGCCGCTGGGTCCTGTCCCGCAGCCCGTTGGTGGCCGCGGCGCCTAGCTCGGGCACGTCCAAGTCCAGTCGGAAAGTTTTATAGCCATTCGCGCGCCGCGCCGGCTCCTTGCCTTTCCGCTTGAGCTTCTTGAGGCCGTTCAGCTCCTTCACGCACACGGTCTTCCACGGCCCGTCCTCGAGAACGGGGATGTGCTTCATGGCGCGGGCAGCGCGCGAGGCGGAGGCGTGGGGCTGCCCGGGACGCGCGCCCGCCGCGCTCGCTCTGCACGCGGCGCCCGGCTCTGCCCGGTGGCCGTCGCTCTCGGCGCCTCGGAGGCTCGCGCTCTCCCCTGCGCTCACCCCCTCCCTCCCGCCCGCCCGCCCGCCCTCTCTCCTCTCTCCTCTCTCCTCTCTCCCCCGCGCGCGGGGCAGCTGCGCCGCCGGCTCCGCGAAGCTGCCGGGCAGTCCGTCCCCGGAGCGCTCAGAGTGTCCTCTGAAGTCGCGGCCGCCGTGCCAGCATTTCTGGAGCACGCCCGCTGCGCCCCATCTGTGTTTGTTTAGCCTCAGTTTACACAGAAGCCCGGTTCGCGAGATCAGTCAGCGCCGCCGCCCGGAGAGCAGGCAGCTCCCGCCGCCACCGCCTCCCAGCCCGGCCGCCCGAGCCGCGAGCGCCTTTAAAGAAACAGGAAGCATTTTTCAAAACAGCTGGGCTGCCGGCCGCCTCCTTTGTCCGCGTCCTCTCTGCCTCCCCCCACCCCCACCCCTTCTGCCCAGAATCGGCCTCCTCGGGCTCCCCCTGCCCACTGCCTCCTCCACTTGGGAGCGCTGCTCTGTTCCAGAGGATGGTCAGCGCTCGGTAGAACTGCCCGAGCACGTGGTTTCGGGGCCCTTGGGCCCTTCCCCAAATCAGAGCTGGGCCTTCTCCACCCTGCCCTTCGACTTCTCGGGATGCAGCACGGAACTTGCGCACCTAGCACCTCACCGTCCACCCCTCCACCCTAACTCTAACCCGCGGAGGAAAAAACGAAACAGCAGCTTCTCCTGGAGTGGGTGGGGGCGAGGAGGGTGGTTGGGGGGTGGGGGGGGGGGCCTCTGGAGTGTCCTGAGACTCTCACGCCCACAGCAGCGCGACCTCTGCCTGCCACTTACCGGAGCAAGAAGGCTTAGGTGGTAGGGAAACTGAGGCTCTGAAAAGGAGTGTGCTTTCCTGTAGTCACACAGCAAGTCAAACAGGCCCTCCTAAGCCGAATGGGGTGCAAGCTTCGGATTTAACCAGACCTAGCATCTGTGAGAATCTGCAGCTACCTCGCCCCCAGCCCCCAGCGGCCCGCCAAGCCGGGATCTGCTCATCTACGAAATGTGGAGAACGTCCATGCCCAAGTCACTGCCTGGCTGCGAGGAACTAAGGAGATAGATCGTAGTCAAATGGTAGCTTTGGTTAATCTTATTCGTAAGAGGCAGACTAGCTCTGAGAGGCAAGTTTTCTGGGTTCAACACCCAGCTCTGCTCCTCACAAACTGAGAGGCCTTGGGCAGGTTACTGAGCCTCTCTGTGCCTCCAAGGCGACCTTCCTCCCGGTGATCGTGAGGCGTCATTGAACGTGGACGTGCACACCCCTCGGAGCAGTGCCCGCTGTTACTGGGCCAGACAGCTCCCCAGGCCCTCAGGGCTTCATGCCATTCCGCTGGACAGCCTGGAAAGACGAGGTCAAACTAGCAGGCTCCCCTCCAAGACCCGCGTCCCAAGGCTGCCCTAGGGAGGGCTTCCCTCCTCCAGGGACCCTTCTGTGGCAGCTCCTCCTGAACACAGTGGTGGTGGTTCAAAGCAGTTTGGGGAGAGAAGGTGGACCTTTGACCTGGCCTTGGGCTCTGGGCTCTGCAGCCACTGGGATCTTCATCTTTGTGGTTTCAGCCCTGTCCTCCCACCCCCAGACCGGGTGGCAGTTTTCCTGTGAAAATGCAGGGCTCACACACCGTCCAGAGTCCGGGAGAGACTACTTTGCAAACTATGATACCTACCAATGCAGTGGCAAAGGTCACCACTCCAGGGGGCCCCAAGCCTGCCTGTGGCATACAGAATCCTGGGAGGTAGGATGGGGTCTGGGCAGAGGGTTCGGGGGCCAGGAGCATAGAGCGGGGACTGGGAACCCGAGGTGGGTCTTGGCTTTTCAACCATTGAGCCCCATGACCCCGGGCAAGACATTTCATCCCACTGGGGTTCTGTTTTCTCATCTGTCCTTGAGAATATTTCTGTGCAGCCAACCTCTCAGAGTAGTTGGGCAAGTGAAAAGAGATCATGGATGTAAAAGGACTTCGACACAAGGCTTCAAACGTACACTCACACATCCACATCCCCACAGGGACACATACGGAGGAGGCAGGCAGTTTTCTGATGACAGTAAATGCAAAACCTCATTTTTTCCACTGAGATGTGTTCCAACATCATAGTGCATTTGCTCCTCGAGGCCCCTCCTTCCCTGGACACGCAGTGTCTTCCTGCACTTTATGTCCTGAAGGCCAAGGGTGTGCCTCAGAGAGGAGCCCTCATTCTGCTGCTGCTTCCCTACCCAGCCGGAGACCCTCACTCACGGCCTTTGCTCAAAGATCTCCCACACTCCCCTCTTCAGGGCACACTCCCCTCTTCAGGGCACACTGTTTGGTGACAGTTCCATTCCCCCCCCCCCCCCGCACTCACCCCCCCACCAACCCCCAGCCCCACCTCCTGTAAGCCTTGGCTGATCACCAGAGCCCCCTGTCGCCCCTGCTGGCCTCTGCACATGCTCACTCACAGGTATTGCTGCCACTTATCAGGTGGGGACCTGTCTGAGCTCCTGGGCTTGTAGCTCCTGAAAGGCCTGCTGTTTCCTTCCTGTCGGTCCCCGGGGTCGGTGCCCAGGATACCTTTGCTGAAAGACAACCAGCCCGCATGCCCTTTACATTCTCCAGATCCCAAGCAGAGGCCAGGACCCCAGCCTGCCCACTCCTCATGCATCCAGCCAGTCAGCGGCAGAGATGGGAGGAAGCCAAGCCTCCTCTCCACCTGCTCAGGCACTCTCCGAGCCTCAGTTTCCCCCTCTGTAAAATGGAGATGATAATAGTGTGCCTCACAGGGCAGGCATGAGGCTTAAATGAGGCTGCATGTAGCAAGGGGCACGAAGTAGAATGAATGGTGGCCTTCAGCACTCTTGTGGCTCCAGGTGGTCTCACTCCCTAGCACAGGTGCCCAGGCTCCATCTAGCCCAGCACCTGCCCAAGACTTGGGGTGCAATTGCAAGCTGGGGTGTCCGTGGGAGGTGGGGGAGCGTGTGGAAGTCTCTGGCAAGACTGAAAATCATCCCTGAAGAGGCTAGGCTATGTGCCAGGAAAATCACACGTCTTGGTTGAGTATTGAGGTCTTCTCATGCTTATCCCGAGCCCCTCACCCACTGACCCAAAAGAGGAGGCGCTCCCTGCGATCCCATCCATGGGGTCTCGGGAGGGGAAGCGGGGCGAAGGGGATGGTCAGCTGCGCTGGGTGGAGGTAGAGTGGGATGCAGACCCGTCTCCAGTCTCCAGGGCACGCTCTTCCCCCTTACCTTTCGGCCTCTCCTGCTGGTCAGATGTTGCAGCCCCAGGGTTGGCATCAGGCAGCCTAGGAGGAATCTGCTTTGCCACTTACCAGTTGTGTGGCCTTCAGCAAGCAGCCCCTTCGCCTCTCTGAGCCCCGGCTCGTTATCTGGGCATTATCCTCTTAGTCATAAGATGGAATGGCATTTGGGGGAACAGGAGGCAACCTGTCATGGGCCCAGGTGATGTGAAAAATCCCTGTTGCCATTCCCAGCCTGCCAGGTGGCAGACCTTCAAAGTCGGGTCTCCCTGTCCACAGCCCCCTAGTCTGAGCTTCAAACCTAGGGCTTCCCATTCTGCCTCCTTGAGAAGTGGGAAGAGAGCCCAGCCAGGCAGCGCCCCCTGGTGGTATGGCACTGCCGGGCCTGCACACAACATTGTGGTCTCCGGCAAGGATCTGCTGGCTGACTGTGGAGCCAGGTTCGTGGCCCTGCAAGGACAGTAATATGGATTTCATGAAGTCATAGAGTTGCCAGAATGAAAAGGCTCTCACGGTTACAGCTGGTCTCACTCCCGGCTTTGTTTGGGACAATGCAGACACCCCAAGAAAACGTACACCCTACGTTAAAAACATCCCCCACTGAATCAACGGTTCAAGGCTAGCATGATGGGAGGTTCCACATCCCCTGAATGGCTGGTCCAGGGAACAGTAAGAAAACTAAAAAGGGAAGGGAAGTCAGGGGCTTAGGGCTTAAGCCACTGGGAGCAAATGCTAGAAAGCCAGGCAGTAATAATGACTGCCACACAGGGAATAATTTCACCAAATCCTTATGACAACCCAAGGAGGTGAACCCATTCTGCAGGTAGGAGATGGAGCGCCTAGAGGGAAAGCCTTGCCAACAGAAAGGAAATAATGGAAGTGGCATTTGAACCCAAGCCAAATAGCTCCAAAACCTAAGTTTTGAACCATGTGCTTCACTGCTACTTGGGGGGAGGAGGGAGATAACTGGGCCACATATAGGCCTGGCCTGTTTAGCAACCTGGCTCTCCCTGCATGTGCTGCCAGCCTGGGTGAGCTCTCTGCTGCCCACCTCTCCACTGAAGCCGCTGGCCTCCCTTGGACCAGCCGGGTGCCCCTCCAGTTCCTTCCAGGAAAAGGTCAGATGGCAGAGGCACCACCTCTGGACATTCAAGAGTCTCAGGCGTATGGACCCCAGATCTTGGCATCCAGGCTGGTGCCGTTCTGTGGGTGGGGACAGGACAGCTCTGCAGGGTGGCATCGGTGATCGCTGCCTTCTCGGCCAGGTGAGATGACGCTCTACATCCCTGAATCTGGAGTCCCTATTTCTGATGTTCAGATGGTTCCAAAGTGGGTGTGTCACCCATGCGAGGGAGAAAGAATAGGAAGTAGATTGGCAGAAGGAAACAGAATGCATGTGATTGGCACCCCCTGGAGGTGTACTCACAGCAGCCCTGGGCAGGACCACCCCAGGGAGGGAGCAGAAAGTAGAATACCGTCCGCCTGGTGGCCCCCAAGTGAGAGCACCCACACTGCACCGTTAAACATCAGGATGTTGGATCCAAAGGTGGTGCTGAGGCATCCAGGCCTGAAGCTCCTACTCTCCGGTCTTCACTCTACCTTCCGCTATCCGTGTGGCCGTGCCAGTTGCCAATTATGGAAAACGGAGAGTCTTCGGGGCCGGGACAGAGGCCGGATGAGGCGCTACAGAAGGGAGAGAGGGAGGCCTCAGCACTCCTTCTCTGAGACCTGCGGTGCCCCTCCTCAGCAGTGCGCATGTGCTCTGCTGTG